ATTAATGCCCCCATTTGGGTTACAAGCCCACATTACTGAGCTCGGCGAACTACAATCTCTCCAATTCTATTAAAAAGTAGAAAATGTTCTTATTCTATAACGATGTGGGACAATTCCATTTCAGTCTCAAAAAGTAATGTGTTTTTGTTTTTATGTAAATTCTGATACTGCATTTATGTGTCTAACTAGAGTGATAACATTTTCTCTACTGATAAAGGGTAACCTGGTGAAAAATGCAAACATTCCACATAATCGTAATACTCCTTCATTTCACTTTATATGATATTATTTAATTGAATACGAAGTTTGAGAAAGAATTAATCGAAATATGCACGTGCTTCAAGTACTTGATTGGTGGACGTGTCATTTACAAATTATTGCAATTATTTTCTCGGAGACGAACCAATTTCCCAATGATTTTATGGAGCTTAAGAGTCTATCGGAAACAACCTCTATATCCTAAAAAAATAGAGACAAGACCTACGTATACCATCATACTAGTATGTTGTTCTTATATTTTCTTGGAGAATGTAGAGGTCAACATTTCTATTGATGTAAATGAATTTTTGCACTATAAAATCACACCTAAAAACAATTCAAGTAACCAAGTGCACATTATAGTACTTTATACGTAAAAAAATAGTAAATTTTCAAACAATATTTGTTACTTCCTCTATCTCAATTTATGCAGCAATGACGTAATTTAGAGTGTCAAATAATATATGTTACTTCCATATTCCCAATCAAGTGTACTCTGCATAAAAACGTCTAAGGCGATGTCATCGCTATTGTAGAAAGTGATGACATTCGAGAACAAGCACCTAAATCCAGAAAACAGTGACAGATCAATGATTTGGGATAAAAGCCACAGCATAGAGTGTAGGCATGAGAAACTAAACAAATGTCTCCCTACTTCCTCTGTTGTGTTACAAGCTCTAATAAGGACAGCAAAAAAGAGAGGACGAAGAAATCGGAGTGTTGCAGGGACCAGGAAGTGCAAACTGGGAAACTAAAGATTACGATGAAACCAAATCAGGAGTTTCAGCTTCCACGGATAACAATGCAGTGTGTACTTTATCCACCCAATTATCTAGCCGATCCCGCAATGACTTGATCTGAGGAATACCCAAAACTCTTGGTTGAACCCAGGACACGTGAACAGTCCCTTCCACTTGATCGATTATTCCCTCTATCAGATGTACCTGTAGTAACACAACATCAAAACAAAGAAAAACTGTTCATAAACCTAAATTTCGACATGTAACACATCACCATATATCACAGGAAAACTTCGTAGTCTATTAGGAAAAGTAAGCATTCAGGGTTTGTGACAAGAAAACAGAGAGAGGAACAGAATGAGAAAGGCAGGAACCTAAAACGCATAAGAAAACATATAAAAACTTCTTGGTTGCAACCTACATACTGCTCATGTGGAGGAGCTTTCAGTGGGGGCATAATGTAATAATGAGAATTACTTCCTAGTGACAGTTGGGATATATAAACTGCACAGCAAATAACTCGACTGATGCCACAACTTAAGAGGTAAGATATAGTAGTAGCTTGATCATTCACTTGAATCAAATGATTTTTTTTTGTAAGAGGTTATCCTTCTCGAAGAAGGAGGTACCTACTTTTGGTGACTTGATAAACTAAGCTATGAAGCTGATCATGGATACTATACTTCCTCTATCAGAAAGCATTTTGGCAGCCCGCTTAAATCATAAGTTGAGAAAACACATAAATTAGGTGTGCAGCATGTGCAGGACTTGAGAACATAGGGGAAGAAATATGTTGCCATATGACATCCCGGTACAATTGTACCATCCAATAACATTACAAAGATGAGCATTTCTTTCTTATGCATGTCTTGGTGCGTGGAAGCTAGTTACAGAGGAGAGATTTATATCTTAATTAAACAAACAATAATTCACTTACAGAGAGACTCTTCATTAAGAGATGCTCTACATCTTCCACGCTAAGTTTAGTGCGCTCTGCAATGGCACTCAATGGAATAGTTCTATCCTCTGCTGGGCGACTGCATGCAAATGCTTCCTCCATAAGTTACAGTTCAACAAAAATAAATTACAGAGGTATCACTATATGCAAAATTTCTGCAATACCTGAAGATGATTTCCATCAAGCATAGAATGTTGATCTTCTCAAGAAGCTTTTTCTCGTTCTGCAACAATGCTGGTTGAGCACTTAAAGCAGCTTGATGGACACGGCACAATTCCTGATAACGAACTAAATCACCAGTGTTGAATGCTTCAAGGATATGATATAGCCATTCGACTTGTGTCCCTACCAAACTCTTTATCTGTTAAAAAAAAAGGATCAAGTCATAATGAGACCAACATAATGTTGCCAGAGAAACCAACATAAGATCACCCTATGGCTCTCTAATATAATCCTCCGATCAATTCCACCACTTATGAACTCTGAAGCCTATTTGATGGTCAAAATTGAATTTATGAGATTTCAGATAGCTTTGGGCTATGGGTACACTGTAGATACTTTATACTAGTTTCTTTTTACTTTTTGATACTTTTATAGCAAAATCGCCTGTTGGATTAGAATGAGACAAGTTCCCTTGGGGAAGCTCAAGTGGTCAACACAAGTACCACCTTAGAAAGAACTCATTAAACCAAATCAAATGGGTGGCTTGGATATGAAAGACCTTCATCTACACAACCAAAGCCTGCTGCTGAAACGGTAGTGAAGATACAACTGTGAAAATGATCCACTCTGGAAAAGAGTGGCATATGCTAACATGGAAAATGGATTAGATGGTGTAAACAAGCAAACACCTATCCTTATGGGATGGTCCGTGAAAGTTCATGAGGAAGCTATGGGATAAATTTGGTACAAGAGAAACCTACACACTAGGAAATGGAGAAAACATATGTTTTTGGCATGACAGATGGTTGGGCCAACTTTCTATAAAAGACTATCCGCTGATGTATACCATATAGCTGCTGCGTCTGATACAAAAAAAGGCTCAATATAGAGATAGAAACTGCTCAAATATTTCTTCTTTTTTTCATGATAAGTGGAACTGCAGGAACATCATCCTTGGAGGAAACTGTAAAGACTGGTAACTAGAAAAATGTCACATTGCTGGGCAACTAAAGCAAGCGACAGTTAATACCTAAGTCATGGACAGCCTGAAATGGAAGGGAATTGGTGGGACTACATCAACAGGAAAAGCTTGCTACTATAAACCTAACAAGATCTCATTCCAGCAAAAATGACAACACAAGATAAGTCTATACAAATCTAGCAACTAGGAAGACAGCAATGATAATTCTAGAATGGACAGCTTAGCCATATCACAGCAAAGAAGCTTTACAGGATGCTTTTGAAGCAAAGAAAACAACAACAATTGTATTACAACCTACAATTTTTGAGAATAGTAGAGAGTCCACTGTGGAAATTTTAACCAAACTTTAGTTTCAGTAGTATTTTTGGGTGTAAGGAAACATCCATAGATGGATGACTTCCATGGAAATTTCTTATATGCATGACATCAACTTCATGTGACATTCAATAGAAGATTTTGATTAATCCAAATAAAAGAAAAATAATGAACTTACTATAGGATGAGCAAGCAGCTCCCCAAAATTGTATACGTTGTCTCCCAGTAATGCTGACAAGGACAAATCAAATGCCAAATCCTAGACAAGATAGAAGAAACAATTACATAGAATAAAAAACCTCAAATATATTGACACTAAACCAATTTCAGATGCATTTTCTTAAAAAGACTGAAGTTACAGAAAGAATTTCCAGATCTCCAGGTATGAAAAAATCCTACCCAAAGAGTGAAAAGAATCCCCCATAATCCAGTTTGCTCTATTCAGATTTTCAGACCAATTTCTCTAATACTAAATAATTTGTCACAATGAAATGCACACAAATTAAAAAAAAATCAAGAGCTTATACAGACTTTATGTCAAAGATTCACTTCTCTTTGGGTACCAAGTAGTATAAAATGCAAGGAGCATAAATAAATTTAAAACGTACTCTACAAGTATCTATTTTTATCATGGATATCTACTAGCAACATTTCTTATCAACCTTCTTCATGATGCCAACAGTATACCCCGTTTTAGACCTTATTCAATGTTAGGACTTCTGTGCAAAGAGATATATTACCAACAGTACTAAGGCAAGAGAAACCAACATATAGAGGTCAGAGATCTGCTAGACATAGCCAAGAAATTCCTAGATCGTTCTTTGGATAAAAGGCAGAAAATAAAATGGCAACATACCAGCTTGAATGACTCCGAAAGAGAATCCACTGAAATGTATGCAAGATAGAGGAGGGCACTTTTGTAAAACTCTGCAAACTCCTGCCGTGTTTTATGATACTGAGATGAAACCCAATAGTAACTGGCATACACAGAGGGGTCAACATCGGTCATGCTGTCAAGTGTAGCATTCCCCTGTTCTAAAAGCTTCTTGCACTCTTTTTGATCCCCTTGTTCAAGCTTAAATAGGGCAATCTGCAACTTAATATAAAGTATTGGCTCCTCTATCCGTGTCTCTTTAGTATTTTGGAGTTTCTCTGCCACTCCTTCCAGATAACCTATTGCAGCATCTTTCTCCGAATATTGCCGAGAGACGATTACAGCGAAATGTGCAAGCTTCAGAAGATTGATCTTTGTCTCAAAATCAGTGATGAAATTGTGATATAGCTGTATCAACGTGTCACCAGCCTAAGAACAAAATAAGGAAACAAAACGAAAGGCATTAGATCTGCATACAACACATAAAAGACAACTACTGTAATTATGGTGACTGGGAATCAAGCATATGCAATTTAACAAGGTGCAGTTAGATCACGAGGAACAGAATAAAAACACCACATTTACTATGCTATATGGACACATATTTCCATGACTACATTGCAAGATTCAAGAACATCTACAGCCCTGAGCATGCACTACTCAGAGAACTCAATTTATCCTTCAAGAACTTGTGTGCAAAGGACAAGTGGAACTGAATTTCAGAATTATTTGAAGAAGTATCATTCAGATGATTTAAACTTGATGAACTGCATATCTTTTTTCTGATCGTCCATCGGAAACCTCTCTACCTCCCAAGGTAGGGATAAGTTCTGCGACCCTGCGTACACTCTACCCTCTTCAAACCCCACTTGTGGAATACCACTGGCAAGGAACATAGAAATGCAGACACAACTCCAGCTGCACATAAAATGAGGTACGCCGCAGGAACCATAATTCCAAAGCAATTATCATAAGGACTTATAACTAAGCATATTCAACGCTCTTATATTTCAAGTTCAACACATCACCACCTAAAATCATAACACTAAAAGCTACAAATCTCCAACTAAAGCTCTCTTGTTCTTCAATTCACTTCTCTTATCCCCAAGATGCCACCTTTTCAACTCCTCTGAAACCCTAGAATATTCATAAACCCCAATTCCCAACACAAAAAACAAAACAACAAATCCCTAACTCAACAACAACAAAAAATCCTTTATTTTTCAATACAATTCCCATCCGTTCAGAATCAAAATCCCTCCTTTTTAAGGTTTCAGCTTATTAAACCAACTACCCCTAACTTTATCATCAATCACTATATCTCCAATACCAAAATCACTCAAAACCCCTAATTTATCACAAAAAGGCCCTAAAAACAACAAAATAAGTATATAACGGGGAGATATTCGATAAAATACCTGAAAAACAGCGAGAGCAACGAACTGTTCGAGCTTGAGAGAGAGCTGATGCCAGAGCTTGCGTTGGTACAGATCTGCAAGCGTGGTGTACCAATCAGAAAGCTCTGGATGATCATTGCGTAACGATTCCAAGTACTGTAGAGCCGCCATAGCTGATTCAGTGTTCGAAAAATCCTCTCTCTCGATGAAGATGATGAAGAAAGAAAAGGAGAAGTTTTAAAAATAGAAAATAATTTTATATAGGAATTTTTATTTAATTATTTTAATTTATTCGATTAAATTAGTTTAGTTTTGATTTTAACGAAAAATCAATTCATGAACACCTAGGGTTGCCTATCGGTCGGTTCAGTCGACTTGACTTATCAATTATCAGTTTGTAGACACGCTAAATCCTTTTTTTTCACTCAATGTTCGATACCCACATTGGAGCCCGACTAAATTCGGATTTGCGCTGGGCACTCCCTAACAAAAGGTGATTTTGTACCCAATGGGGCTTGAACCCGAAATCTCTTGGTTAAGGAAGAAGGAGTACTTACCACTCCATCACAATCCTTGGTTGGTCACGCTAAATCGTTATAGAACCATTAAGACATGGACTTATCAGTTATCGATTATTGATCACTATTGGTTCGGTTATCGGTTTAACAAGGATTACTTAGAAACAAAAAGACAACTCAACTAAACCAGGCATATCAGTTGACAAATTTCATTTTACTCAAAAGTCAATGGTGGCATATTGTAGAATAACTAAGTGTTCGACAACCAAATCTCTATATATATATAAAGGTGGATCTTCAGCCCACCGATGTGGCATGCCCCAATGATCAGGAAATCTATTTATCTATTTTGGAGGATTTTTGGAGGATTTTTTTTCCTATTTTCAAACCTA